GGACTTGATGAACCGCTCGGGTCCCTTCCAACCCTACCAACTGTGAAACTATAATTGATTTGTTGCATCAGGGCCTGAGATAGGCACAATATTTCTAAAACATAATAACATAACTGTAATTTACTGGGTCATACCATAAATCCATCTTGCCCAGTGTGCTATGTAGCACACTGGCAAAGAGTGGATGCTGAACGGGAGAGTGAACTGGGTATGACCAGGATTTTTCCCCGGTTCCTTTCCTACTTGCAGCCTCCAGCATTTGAGGTTTAGGAAGTTTTAATTCAGAGGCTGTACCCCTAACTCCCATGTTTTAATAGCTATGGATGCACTTTTCCTCAAAGACTTTGTCTGATTTGTCCAATCTCTTTTTGAATCTGGTTAAGTTGCCAGCTTCCACAATGTCTTGTAGCAGTGAGTTCCAAACTTTAATTTTTTAAGGGTTTTTGAACCCAAAAGCTTGCTTAATAATTGTTTTCCAACTATTTAAGTTAGTCTAATAAAAGATATCAGATTCACGCAAAGAACCTTGTCAAACTGTAATTATGTACTGGGTGAAAAAGAACTTTCTTGTGTTAGTTTTAAACTTACTACCTGTTAGCTTCATTTTATGACACTCAGTTTTTGTATTGTGAAAAGTAAATAAAAAATCCCTATTTACTTCTTCTTCACCTTTTAGCATTCTGTAAACCCTTATCATATCCCCCCTCAGGTGCCTCTTTTCTAAACTGAATAGGCCTGGCCTCTTTACACTCTCTTCTCCATACCAGTAATCATCCTTGTTGCCTTTGTGTACCTTCTCTAGTTCTTCTATATCTTTTCAAGATGTGGGGACCAGACCTGGACACAATATTCAATGTGCCACAGTATCACCATGAATTTATAAAGGGGCATGATGATACTTTTAGTTTTGTTTACAATTCCCTTCTTAATAATTCTTAACAACTTGTTTGCATTTTTGATGGCTGCTGAGTGCTGAACTGATATTTTTAGCGAACTGTCCACAATGACTTCCAGGTCTCTTTCCACTACGGTAACAGGTAATGTATAACCCATCATAGTGTAGGTATAGTTCAGGTTATTTTTGCCCGGGTGCACTTACCTACATTGAATTTTTGTCTGCCATTTAGTTGCCTGTTCAACAAAAGTGCAAGATCCTTCTGTAGTTCCTCACGGTCCACCTTGGTTTTCATCACTTAGAATAATGTTGTGGCATTAGCAAATTTGGCAACCTCACTAGTCACCTCCTTTTTCCAGACCATTTATGAACATGTTAAATAACCAGTCCCAACACAGATCCCTGGGAGACCCTGTTATTTACTTCTATCCATCCTGAAAACTAACCACTTACACTCACTCTTTGTTTTCTGTCCTTAAGCCAATTTCTAATCCACAGGTAGACCTTTCCTGTAATCCTATGACTACCTAAATTCATTAAGAGTCCAGATATACTATGTCAGATACACTATATTATACATTCATCAAAGTCCAGATATACTGTCAGCTGGATCACTTTGATTCATTTGCTTATTTCTAGTGGAGAGGGAGCCATATGGACACCAAGGCAACAGAAACTGCTGCATCCTTTCAGCTGGATTGTTTACTTGCCAGAACAATTTGGCTTTATGGTACAAAGAAAGGAGTTGATCAGAAGCTAATTTCTTTTATTTCTTCTGCTACCACTAATGTAGTAGAGTCCTTCCATATCTGTGGAAAAAATGGAGAGGAGTATTTGGGGGGGGAGGGGGGAGGAGCAGGGATTGCATTCTTTTCCTGCTATTCCTATAAACCTGTGCACATTTAACTGCCATCTAACCCTTTTCTGTACAAAGAACTTGAAATAGTTTTAAAACATCAGAGTGATTTCTCAGTTTAAGTGGCAATTTACCATATAAATGGAAGAGTAACTTTGCTCTTCTCAATATTTTGCCTTATAGGTATGATTCTTTCACAGATTCCTCAAGAAATGAAATGAAAAGGAAATTTGCTCTGACTATGGAATTTGTAGAAGAGTACTTGAAAGAAGTTGTAAATCAGCCATTTCCTTTTGGGGACAAAGAGAAAAACAAACTTACATTTGAGGTACCTACAGTTATTTTTGTCCTAATTTAGTACACCAAAGCACTAGTTATTAACTCTGTGCCTTCTAATATAAATGCTTCTTATTTAAGTATGAGTTTGGGGTATCAAATATTTTTATCTGGGTATCAAATGCATCTTTATGCCAACCTCATTAGTTTCACTGTTCTTGTTCTCACTCTTGTTATGATATAATCTACTGTTGCAGTGTGCTGTTAAATAGTTGCGGTGTTTCTCCTACCAGAGGTGCCTGCCTTTCTGGGGCAGGGGAGGTGATTTGTATGTGTGTATGGATGTGTTCTCTCTCATTCTCTCTGACTTAAGGTGAGCTGAGATCCCTTTGGAGTGCAAGATGCTATAATCCATGTAAGATAAAATAATAAAGGGTATATTATACATGTCTTATCTGGTATTTTCTTAGTATTCAAAAAACACCTCTCAAAGGTTATAGGATCAAATAAAAGTGAACAGCTACAGCTTTTAAAGGTCCAGCTCCAACTGAACTCAAGATTTGTCCCTCTCTACTGCTCCTGCTCATCCAGCATTGCCTTTCTCCATACTTACTATGATTTCATAATTGTTGCTTCAAGATCCATCATCTCTAAGAGTGCCTACTCTTTGAAAAACCCTTCTTCAATCTTTCTGCTTCATGGATCTTCAATCATATGTCTTTCCTCAAGTAAAACTCTTTCTTTCCAACTCTGGATAAATCTTCTGGTGTTTTCTCCCTTTTTTGTTTTAGTTTATGTAAGACATTATATTATTTTACTCGGAATAACATGATGAAACTGACTTGGGTCCAAACCACTAAAGTGAATGGAAAGCAAAACTCGCTTTGAATTGACCACCCTTTGGACTGGAGGTTCCACAGAAGATGTTATTGTACAAAATATAATGATCACTTATATTGTTGATGTTTCCTTCATTATTTTTTTCTTTCTCCTTAGGTGGTACATCTGGCTCGAAACCTCATATATTTTGGCTTTTATAGTTTCAGTGAGCTACTCAGACTTACTAGGACCCTACTAGCTATTCTAGATATTGTTCAGGTTCCTATGTCATCATACTTCGAAAGACTAAGCAAATTTCAGGACGGAGGTGAGCAAAGAGGTAGAAAGTTCATTAAATTGCATAATTCATTTTTTGGTGGCAAAAATAATTTTTGAAATGTTATCGATTTATCATCTGGATGAAATGTCATTGATTGATTTAGAGGTTTTCTTTGTGAGTCCATCCATCTAGATCACAAGCCAAGGGTCAGAACAACCTAGTTCTGGTCTGACTTGGGTCAAGAGGTTTTGGCAGCATAGCAGTGGGGTTGGGGCTTTGCTCTTGCTGTCACCTTTTCTCCCCACTCCCTGAAGCCCTAGATGCAGCATGGGTGTAGCTTCCAGCTGGTAGGGAGCTTCACTGGGGCTAGGCAGCTGGAAGTAGGGCTGCTGCCCTTCTCTATTCCAGTTCCCCTCCTATATCTCCCAGTTGTGGCACAGGCTTCCAGCTGCCCAGCTATGGCACATCTCCTTGCTGCCCAGCCCCAGCATGGGTGCTGGCACAGGCAAAACATGCCAGGTCTGCAAGCCAGATCCTGTTGCTGTGTGGGCTAGATTCAGCCTGTGGGCCATATGTTACTGAACCCTGATCTAGAGGTACAGCAGATGGATGTGTTTCAGAATGTGTAAAAATGATCAGTTAAATGAAAATTGTATTGACTGATTTACTGACATGTGCTGCTGCACTTTTGTATATTTGGAACCTGGCTGTTCTAAATCAGGTTTCAGTACTCAGTATCCAATGAATTAATGAGGAACCAGGAACCTGACCTGGTGCTCAGCTCTCAACAAATGGAGAGGCAGTATTTGTCTGGGCAAAGTACCAGCAGTTGCCTGTGTCTACAACTGGCATTTATCAGTTTTTGAGGAACATGCTTTTCTACCTCTAAGCATGGTGCTTTGCTGGCTGTAGTTAATCATGGAAATAACAGATGGAAAAAAATCTGTTAGGCCACTGCTACTATCTTTCTGTCAATACAAGTTTCTTTCCTGTTGCACTCTTTGTTTCCCTAAACCATGGGCCTTCTATACTTCCTTCAGAAGACTGTTTCAGAGTCTGAAATTTAATTTTTCCTGTTCTTAAATTCATCCATTACTCCTACATCAATCCCTTACCTGTGTGCCACTCTAAAGAATATCTCTTCTTCCATAACTTTACACTCTTCATTTACATATTTATTGTGTGTTAAAATTGGCTTTAATAAGTGTGCAGAGACCTGGCCAAAACAATCCCAGAGCGTTTAGGGCTGAATTATATTTCCCTTTGTGTGCCCAAATGGCACCTGGGTATGTACCTGAGTGGTTTAGGCCCTCCCTCTGTACTATGGATGCATGCTTAGTAGGCTTTGCATTGGTTAGACATGTGCATGCCTGAGTGTAAATGTGAGGAAAGGAAGTGGGGGAGACCCTCCCATGTTTTTTCCCTAAAAGGTGAGTTGTTAGACACGTGTGCTATCCCCCAGTCTAGCCCCAGCGTTTAGCTTCCAATCTTGATGAAGGTTTGAACCAAAATCTTTTGACTTAACAGCAGAGGTCTCTTAACAGCCCTGCCAAGAAACAGTTATTGCCCAGGCCCCTCTCCCATACTCCTGGAATAGCAAGCCTTGTGGCTAGGGGAAAGACAGTAGCTTTGAGAGAACCAGTTTTACAAACTGCCTGTGCAGCAGTTCAGCAGAAGAGGGTCTTGGGACAGGGTATTGTTTCACCTAATGAATGACCAAAGTGCAGCTTGCAGCCAACTCTGAGTTACATGACTTGTATGTAGTAGTGGTTCCATTGCTTATGCTGGATGTGTGAGTGCCCTCATAAATGCTCTGGAGATGTGCAGATGTCTCTGTGTCCCTATAATGAGAAGGCACGTATAATCCAGAGGGCAGGTAACTCATAGCTGCAAGCTGCACATTGGTTGTCAACTAGAAACAGAATTCTGCTCCTAGGGATTACAGCTGATCACAAAAGGAACACATATCAGTATTGTGTCATGTTGCCATGAACGAACCAAACACCACACTTGTATATATGAATGTAAGTATCAATGTAAGATATGGGAACCAAACCCTCTACTCTAGCAAGCACTGGTAAGCCCTGACTGTGAAGCTGTGTCTTGTTTTGGGCACTATACTTAAAGAAAGATATGGACCAATTGGAGAGAGTCTGGAGGAGAGCAACAAAAATGATCAGAAGTCTAGGAAACATGACCTATAAGGAAAGACTGAAGGAAATAAGCTTGTTTAGTCTAGAAGTCTGAGGTGAGACATGACAGTCTTCAAATATGTAAGGAGATTGCTGTAAAGAATAAGGTAATATATTGTCCTTAATGACCATTGGGGAAACAGCAAGATGTAATTGCCTTAAGTTGCAACATGGGACAAACATGGAAAAACTCTTTTGCTTGTTCTTTGGCTAGGAAACTTGTCTCTTTGGAGACAGTTCCTTGCAATTCAGACTTGTGTCAGCATGCTCTGCATCCTTAAATGAGATGAGGGGCAAGCCTGGCCTGCATATGCACAATAAAATTTTACTGCACTTAGTTTGTCTGAAATGGCTTATGAGGCATGCTAGAAGTCCCATACAACCTTTTCTAGTAGGGAGGTGGGTTTTCTCCAGATGACCATTTTTTCCATCTTCCCTCTGCCCTGCCCTTTCTTCTAACTTGTATGTTCCAAATCACACAAGTGACACGTTTCAAAGCTGATAAGCAGAATGGTACTGATTTGTGTAGCGGGTGTCCACAGGCATCTATGCAACCACCTCTCATTCCTGTGGGATGCATGTGCTTTTGTCTTACTTAGCTATAGACTAAGTGAGATCCTCTGGGTGCATATATTACAGGGATACATATTCCAAGAGTGATTTGCCACTGGCTCTCAAGTATTCAAAAGTGTCCAGTTCCCATAATTCCACTTCTGAAGATCTTATAAATGTGTTAGTTAAGCAAAAATGAGGGTGCTTTTCCTTTAAAAATAGTCAGTTAACCTTAGTTGCAATTTAAAATAAGAAAGGGAAAAAAGGAAAGAAGTGCTAGTTATTGTAGTTGTTGACATTCTGAAGACAGTTGGTGTGGCTGAAATGTCGTCTATTTATAATTTTTCCATAATGTTGTGCCTTGCTATAGTCTGCTACTGTAGGAATGAATCAGACCTTGCTTCAGAATCAAAGGCAATGTACACCAGCTGAGGATCTGGCCTCTGTTCTTTTTCTCTTCTGTTCTCATATAAATTTACGAAGCTCACATACATTTTGACCTGTTATTTTTGGCAAGGAAAATACCATTGCAGGTCACTGAATTTATGCTTCTAAAAGTCAGGATCAAGCAGTCGCCAACTAGATTTTGACATGACGGACCCTTTGTTTTTGTATCACATCAGCACTATATACTGAATGTTAAGGAGTCCTCCAAAGGACAGACTGTTATGGCTGAGATGCAGTGGATTAGCTAGTGTGTAGTTCCAGAAAAATGTCTTTTTTTTCAGGTTTTTTCCACATGGTTCTGTATGTCCATTGATATATAGGGATTCCCATGTTTCTGTTACAACCATAAGTCTCTCTCAAGTCTCTCTTTCCAACCAAGGAGGAATTGCCAGACTGCAGCAGAATCTTGTCAGCAGTTCAGCTAGCTGATTGGCCAGTCCTTTATTTTAAACTCAGTCTTCCGCTGTTTTCTTCCTGTTAATCTCATTCATGCTGGTGGGAGTCTTGCTTATGTGAGGTCTTCTGAAAAGGCTTACATATGAGCTGGGCATACTGTCCCAATGATACTTTTATTCCTATTGCCTCAGGGAAGAAATAACTCTCATGGATATCCATTTTCACTGCTCTGAATAACACTCAGGTATTTCTGCTGATACAAAATGGATATGAAATGTGCCAGCTAAATAGCCTTTTACTTTGCTCTGAAGACTACAACAGGCACAACATTGTAGAATCAGGCTTCAATAACCAAAATGTAACTGCCTTTCATAAAAGGGAGAGGAATTATTACTTGGCTTCAGCAATAGGTTTAGGTTATGATTTATAATTTAAAGTAATCATTTTTATGGTTTCCCTTCCCCTGTATATGTATCCCCTCTCTCTATCTGTTACAAAACTGAAGTAGTTTGGTTCATCTATCATTTTTTATTTATGCTTGTCCAGACTCTTAATTCCTACTTTTAATTTATAATATTCATTTCTTAGCTTATTAAATAAAAGGTCCAAGTCACAACAGAAAGTAATCTAACCTGCATTTCATGGCTGTTGGAAGAGATGTCAGCAGCTTGACTTAAAAAAAAAATCCATATAGATTTTTCAGTTAAGTGTTTTTTTAATTCATAAATATATTTATAAATATTAAGGGACAAACTGTGTCTTGTCCTGTTCATGGCAGAGGAACCACAGGGCCAGTAATGAGAGATGGGCAATTCTCATCCTCTCTGCTCAGGGGAAGGAAAGTTCTACTCCCCCTTTGTACCTGTGGGACCTCACATCTCCACAGGTGCTGGAGTTCTAGTCATGACTGCCCCTCTCAATGACCTATGCAGCGTGTGTGTGTTCTCATCACAAATTGCCTTGCACACAGGTATTGCCTTTGAGTGTACAGCAGTGGTATCCAACCTTTTTAAATAG